CCACAAACGACGGTCTATTCAGCCGAACGATTTGCAGATTGGCTAGAGGGCTTTACGATTGATTCGATCGGTCTACCGAGAGCTAATGCCTTGGCTAAATATCCGCAGCAGACACCGTCTAAGCAGATGTGGTGTCGCCTAGTCAGTCGAAAGGACCCTCTAATGGCTCCTGCCCGGCCACTTTCGTGCCGCCTCTACTATTCACTCCCTACGTGAAATTCGAAGGCCTCCGGGTATCACATGATTCTGAAGTGTGGCGGCCCGTGATTGGTTGAAATGCCAGGGGCGTTCCGTCATCGCATTCTGGGGAACTTCAGCATTTTGGATGGTCGGATGGGCTGGGCCCCTCTATACCACACTTTAAGACCGAAACATACCGTTTCCGTAAGTGGATAATTTGAAAAAAAACGTGGTTTTCTGTACAAGAGTGCTTTTTAGAAAAAGTATTCGGATTTGCGAAAGTATTGAAACTTAGAGCAAGAAACACTGTTTGCCTAGTAGTTCTTATTGAGAATGACATTCGTAAATGGCCAGAAATGCGTTGATTCAGCAATCAGCATCTTGGTGGGCATGAAGTACTTCCGTATTATGTTGGATCCCAACCAGCATTGCAAGTCCTCTTAATTAGTCAATTCTAACAGGAATCGTATTTTAGAAGTTCAAGTAATGTTTTTCATGAACTGTCACCCATAGCAATTCCGCTGAGTAAAAAAAGTGAAGTAGTGACTGGTCTCACGAATAGTTAACTGAAGTTCTGAAATGCGTTTTGGATTAGGAAGGATTACCTACCTAAGCGGGGTTGTATTATGGGCTATCGTGTAGTATAATCTCGAAATATTTCGGTCGCGCCAGGATGCCGGCATTTGAATGTATTTCTTTTCGGCCGCCTACGAAAACTGCGTTTGGTAAAAAATGACTTTCTAAGGAGTATGGATATTTTTCATTGATTTTCGATGCTTTTCAAAATCGAGATATATTTTATAGAAACCATGGCCAAAAGTAGCCTTCTTGAAATAATTTGGTGAAAGTCACGTCTTCGAAGTATATTCTCAAATGAAGGGTACGTTTTGGTCTTAAACAGTTTTCCGATTCACGAATAACTGTGAGCCCAGTCTGCCGTTGCGTTTGCTTCTAGGGTTTCCACTCTTGAAGCTGTTTACTTTCCATATAAGGAAAAACACACATTCCCTGTGTCATTAGGAAGATACCACGTAACACTCATAGCATTTCATGGGGAATGACGAGTGCGTTGTACGCTACATTAGGGACATTAATAAATGGACAAATGCGATGTTCTTAAGTGGACACTTTACAGTCATAAGAATTATCCTAATTACACGTATTTAGAACCTAAAAGTTCTGTTCCTTCGAGTATAAAATTTAAAGAAGGCGCGGTTTGCTACCAAATGAGCGCAGAGGGCAGGTTTTTGAGCATCTTTTACGGAAAATATGTTTAAGTTTACAAGGACATCGGAAGTCAGAGGGAGGAAATCACGTTCCCTAAGCAGTCACTTTTTTGCCGAATGTCTCCCCTAAAACGGGCCACGCAGGAGATGAATTGGATCAAGGCTAGGGCTAGGTCGGAATCTGACAGGCGTTATCGGGAATGCGCCCTCATAACAAATGCCATCACTGGGGTGCGCTGGCAGGCCCAGTTGCTGGCTCACGCCGCGCCCCCTACCTTCTGTTGTGATATAAAACCCTGACCAGTGTGCGTTGTGGACCAGACGGTTTGGTGGCACGCCCAGTTGCGGGTTTTCGCTGTGCCAGCCGCCTGCACCCTCTCCCGCCTCCGGTCTTTTTGACTCTGTCTTGATACCGGATCCAGATGGGGGGAGGGGAGGGTGCGGTAAATGCAGCCCAAGTCTACTATAAACTGATTCTGGCGCAGTTTACTATTCCTGCTCTCAATTTGCTGTGGAGCACACGATAGACATCATCGGCAACGGCGTCCAAACTGTTGGTATTTGCAGGTGGCTGAAAAGAAGTGTATTGAACGGCCGGAATCCTGACCTAACTGGAATATCCTAAGATTATGCTGAAGGATAATCAGTAGTGTAGGCTCCACTTAAGTAATCCTTCCTAATCGGAAACGCATTTCAGAGTTCCGGTTTACAATACATGGGATGCGTCGCTGACTGTGTATGCATGCCTGATGTGCAAAAAGTCACTTACTTAAAACACTGCCTTGTAAGATGGAAAATCCGACCTTAGGGGTCGGGAAACAGGCATTGTTCTTGCATTGAGACTTGCTCAGGTGCTACCACTGCCAGTGGCGGCACCTGCCTTATCTAAAAATCTCGGCTCCTTCGAAGTGGACTTCACCAATGGGACTGAATAACAGAATAGGGAGCATTCCTTTCTGCCTTGAAACTCTGGCCTTGGGCCCTCACAAGAGCGCGTACATATCTACTGCTCAAATTCTAGTAGAGTGCATGACTTAAGGCAACTTGGAGGTGCAAAGGTCATGGTGGGGCCAACAAAACACAAATCAGTCTGAAATACGAGACAGGGGAGAGTAACGTTCGCCTAACTTGCCGGTCTGCAGATAGTCTGCGAACAATCAAAAGGTCTTGCCGGCCAAATAGACCATCTAACATTCGTCCTCAGTCACGCAGCCGCAGACCAGAATGACCTGGACTTTCAACTCGTGTCCAGTTTATCATGGAGGTATTTACGTTTAAAGTTTAACCACTTATCCTGGCTCCGTGGACTGCCGGGGAGCTTAAAGGTTGTTTGGATGTAACGATCAATGAGCTGGTCTGATTTTAGGACAGAACACCGATGTTCCGTTTTGCTTTGGAACTCCGATTTGGAACCGCAGAACTACAAGTGATTGACACATTTGACCAAAAATGGGTAGGTCAAATGTAAAGCTGGGCGAAAAGCGACCTGATAAATCTTCTCAGGTTAAATATTTGCCTCAAACTGGATAGGATACCGGACTTATCAACCGAGTGTTTGGACTTGCCTAGACCACCGGGAGTTCTCCATGTCTGTCTAAACTATCAGACCACCTACTTCCCATCTGAGTGGCAAACGATACCTATGCACCCGCGGCACCCGGTTCAGTCGCTTGTCTGACCATCCGACCTTGGCTACCTTCAAGACACATGTCGGCCAAAACTCCTAGATAGATACCATGCTACTCACGCCAGTTCGAAGATATAACATTTTTCATCTTGGAATGCAGATGTTTTAATACATGCGTTACCATGTACATTGAAGAGAGGGGCTTTTGGGAAAGATAAGAGGGAAGGGTTTTCCGGAGTGCAAGGAGATACACCTAGCAACGGATCATCACAGCATTTTCCATATCTTAGGCTTTTCCCTGGCCTTGGCTTTTCATCATCAGATTACCTGGTAGATGGTTGAACACAGCAGCATAACCGGCGCCATACGGGCCACAGAAGTCGGGGCACCACCCATCGTTGCTAAAAGAACCAATTTCGAATTATTGAACAAAGTGCGAATGCATGCTCAATCCCTAGTGTTCAGAGCTAACTTGATATAAGGAAATAACGCTACCGGACAGGTGCTCGGCGCCCAGCCGGACACAGGAATATGAACTCCCCGTACTACAGGTGGCCTTACACTAGATTCCAGAGATTAGGGCTGGGATGGCTAGGGTTAGTGTTGCGGTTAAAGTTAGGACACAGGACTAGGTACCGCCCCTGGAATTTAACGCAAGGCCACCTGTATAACGGGAGGTCCTTGTTGCCGTTCGCAATCCTGCGCTCTAGCTGACTTCCTCACAGCCGCGTGCGCGCCATGACGCAAAACGATACTTTTCTTCACCGATTGGCCTTGCTGCAACTTCTTGCTGAGGCTCCGTGTGCACTCGCTCGCCTCAGTAAGGTTGTCTATCCAACTGTCTTACCTGACTTCTGGTTTGGGAGCTCACAAGTTGTCCATCATCTTGTCTAAGTAAGCCTACGTATCAACTCTAAGTTAATCTATGCTATGTGCTTATTATGCAGGAAAATTTAAAATCCTAAGCTAAGACACCTACTAATTACGTGAGCCTGGTAGTAATCTGGTGGATTCTAGGTGGATTACTTAGGAAATCCTGCTTGGGCAGTCAGCTTTCTGTATCAGATTTGGTGAATTCCATGTGTAACAGTAGGCTGGGCGGGTAACTTGACCCAAATGCGATTAAACTCACGACCCCTGGTGGGGCCTCGTAGCTCAGGTGGCTAGGGCGTTGGCTGTATTAAAGCCTTCCCTTGCTGTCGTGTGTTCGAATCCCACCGAGGTCCCAGAGTCAAAATAAAATATTGAAAATGATAACGATAAAGACTCGAGAATAGGAGAATATCAGATTTTGGCGTTGAACATTAATCTGCATTGCTCGACTGTAGTTTAACAAAAGTACTTTTCAGCGAGTGCGCCAAAGCTAAAATTCTTATTCGTCGAACATGTACATACCCCATGTGCATATGCCCTCTGAGCTACATGTACATACATGTTTGGATTGTTGGCGCATGGGAGTCTAAACTGCAGATGCAGTGGAGCCTGAAGGTACAAATCACCGCTTTGTGATGGCTTTTCTCAAAAAGCCCCAACTTTTTGCTTCAATGCTCCTACCCTTGTCTATTGGCTCTGACAGACTTGGAATCTCGTGATTTTATGACGCCGAATCAGATTCAAAAGTGAATATTACCTCAGTGATGCACTGCCCTCATACATTCTTCCGTAGAACCAGGGGAGAACCATATCCATGCTGTCGAGCCATGGCAGCATGGCAATACCTGTTGAAGTCTCGTCCTCGAAGGGATCGATGAACGTTCACTTGTCGTAGAGGCATAACGGTGACATGGAGTTTCGTTATGTGGAGGTCGTGAAGTCTTATCGGAATCCAAAAAAAGTAAACGCGGATGGAGTTAGCAATGGAGGGGCAGCCGGTGGAGTATGACATGGAAGGAGTTGGAGGCAGCGGGGATGTAAAGCCGAAGTGAGAGAAGCGATGAAGATAGGGAAAATGCCGGGATAATCCGTCGCTAGATGCATCCCCTTGCACATCCACTGTAGGAAACTACCTGAAAGAAGACAGATACATATAACAACATGATAGTTCCAGAACGCCCGAAGGCTGCAGGGTGTGATAGTCGAGCACTTAGTCTTGACCTAGGCTCTGGATGCCTTAAGGCTCTAAAGGACTCATTGTGCATTACGCAGACGCATGCAGCAGCACTATGACTTCGTCTTACTTCTCTCCTATTGGTCAGGTATGCATGGCATTGGACTACGGTATGTGGTCATCTTTAGCAGACGAGATGAAATCCAACTTTCTTCCTCCCTGGTCCTGCCGAGACCGGATTAGTGCACCCAGCTACCGCGTCTTGATGTCCTTGTTCACGGAAGTGCGAACGAATCTTTGAATGCGCAATCAACTTGCTCCACATCATCTCTTAAGCGTGAGTGGGAGCGTTGCAGAGAGAAAATATGTGGCTGCCTTCGGATGTTTACGTAACTCCAACCTCTGAGGACCAGCTACGCCCACAGTTGTGAAGTAATCATCTGTAGTTAAGCTAGAACCGGAAAATCCGTGGTGAAGGGCCTCTGGCGAGGAAACGCTGCAACGTTTTTCCTGCCAAAGATTCTGACCAAGGGAACGAACTCACCGATAAAGAGGTACTCGAGGACTCGCAAACGGATAACGGTTGTTTTATTTTTGTTGTAGCTTTCCAATCCCTATGTGTACTTTTAAATAGGCAACAATAGCTCTTAATTGGGCGCAAGCATGAATACCAGCACAGACTTTGGTTGGTATGCTAATTTGGTCAAGAATCTTACTACGGAGGCAGTCAACTGTCGACCCTCCACAGTAGAGCGTCTGGTGAAGGTCGACCAACAGCAATTGTGATGAATCCCAGAAACCTGGTGCCGTACTACTTCCGTTTCTACACAATACAACCAGATCTGATCCTGAATGAAGCATCGACGTGAACTTCTGGCATAAGGCTGGTGAGTATCGACGTGACCGGTTAAATTTAACCTTAAGGTTCGACTACTATGATACTGTCCAGCCGAAATTTCGCTACCTGTCCTAGTTATCTGTTTTGAAGCAGACTTACACTTGTAAAAGCGAATCATCCTACTCATGTCAGAGCTTCTGCCCTGAAACAATCACGTCGTGCGCTTCATTGGCAGAATCTTTCCGCACGTGTTTCAAGTTGAGCCAATACCACACGATCTTGCGTTTGTCTTGCAAGCAATCATACGAGTGTTGTACACCTAATTAGCGCGTTTAACTTTGTCATCTAAATAAACGCGTGCCTATCCCTCTCGACCGCTCGTAAAAAGGCAACAATGCATGGTCTGAGGATCTAAGTTTTGAAATGTTCAGTTATTGACGGTTTCATTCGGTCAACTATTTTCGTTAGTATTACCAAAACTGCCGCATTTGAATCCCTAGCTCGATATGTGACAAATCTGCTTAATTATGACTACGTGCCTTTAGTGCATCATGAGCATGAAGCAGGTGAAAACTTGGGAACTCACCAAGGACATGTAGGGCTTAGACTGGGGTTGCTCCCTAAGCTTTGCTTCGTACACTCTCACACTAGGAGTACGCGAAGAACCAGATCCGTCGGGGCAGGCATCCTCTGGCAAACTGAGAGGCGGACTACTTTCAAAGGCAACAGGCATCGATCCGTTTAGTGTTTGAATTTGAGTTATCGATCTGGAGCCCTGAGGCCTGATCGATGCGACGGTCGCAGCAACGTGCCCGTGGTTTGCCAACTCTGGGCGCGAGACTCTGACAGTAAAGATGAGCGAAGCGTCTGAATTTTGGAAAACAACCATTTTGTGTGGTTGAAAGCGAGTCAGGTTAGGTCCAAGTAGTATTTGATATTGAAGTTTGGTCAAAGTATCGGTTGCAATAGTTAACGAAAATAAGCACGTTGCCTGTTTGGTTGTGCATACATCGGCGTTTCGATGGTAATCCTGGAGACCAGGGCTTTGTAGATAAGGCAGATGAAACAAATTAAATGAGTTTGTGCGAATGAAAATTTTTTCCGAAAAAATGATGTCGAAAATGAATTTGTAGGCTGTCTGGAGCATAGTGAAGACTGCCTAAGCGCATTAGGCAGCAAGTAAATCTATTCGAGAAGAACGCGTCTTTGCTCGACCAATGTCCGTAACTCTTAGGAAAAACTTATGTGAGACATCTCGTTCTGGCAGGCACAACTCAATTGCAAGACTGCATAAGAGGCTATTCTCCACACGAAAGGAACCGCCTTTCCAAGGAGGTTGTCTGCTCTCTTCACATATATACTTGGTGTGATCTCCCACCGTCACAACTTCCACCTGGAAAATACCTTTATATCACCCTGTCCCGGCACCCGGCTCTCAACGGTGACTCTACGAAGCGCTGCTCACCACAGCGGCCACACCCCGGTAAAAGTTCTTGACCATAAATGGTGTCCTGTATGTGTGTCTTCACACCCAGTGTTCGCCGAATCAATCCCCACACTTCCTCTGCGCCCCTAAACAAAAGCGACCTACGTGGAGGGCGATATGAAATCCCCTAGGCGGCCCAGGCTGATTCAGGCCGTCTTCCCACTAAACAGCAAGCGTCACTCATGGTGAAATTCGACAGCCACCTCGGATGACTCAGCGGTCCCAAATAGATACAGCATTGCCTACCAACTTGCGGGAGGAAGGATTAGAAGAGGGGCCTTAAAAAGGCTGGTAAAACACACCGTCGTCGAACTGACTCTGGCTTGTGAGCACAAAAAATAGAGTTGAAACACTACAAGGAACAACAACCACCGCCTTCTCCACAGCCCGTCAAAATGACATTGCCCACTCTGACAATCCGGAATGTTCGTTCCCTCTTAGACAGCACAGTGGTAAACCGTCCACAAAGTAGGGTCGTTCTGGTCGCCCACGAACTGCCCCGCTCTAATTCTGACGTTGTAACCCTCAGCGAGACCCATTCCTTAAGGGCCAACTGGAGGAGATGGACAACGGATACTTCTTTTGGTGCGGACGTCTAAGGGCAGAGTGACGAGACGTCGAAGTCACTTTCGCCATCAGGAACGACTTCGTGAGACTGCTGTCCTGCCTGCCTCAGACCATAATGATCGTCTCATGAAAATTTGGCTGCCTTTTTGCAGGAACAAATGCGTCACCATCGTCAGCGCCCACGCCCTCCCAATGAACAGCTCCGATGACGTAAACAACGAACTTTACGAGGACATGCAACTCCTTCTGGCGACTGCGCGAAAGCCGGATGACTTGGTTTTCCTTGGTGACGTAGATTCCCGCCTCAGCGGAGACCAAATTGGTCACTACAGGATCGGTAGCTGCAACAGCAACGGCCTTTCCCTCCCCCCGGCCTGTCGGAACAGTCTTCTTCTGAACAACACCTTCCATCTCCCGGCTTAGGTGTATCCTCGCTCGTGTTAAGTGCATCTGCTGGACTACGTCCTACTTCACAGACGTGACCAGCGTGACGCTCTCGTGACTAGGGCAGTGTGTTGTGTTGACTGCAGGACGAGTCATCGCCTCGTCTTCCAAAAGACGAGGCTCCAACTGCAACCGCGCAGTTGTATGAACTCCAGACTGGAGGAATGCAAACTCTGAAGGCGCATACCGACGTCGAGACTTTGTGGCAGCAGCTGCTGGACACCGTCTAGGCTATCGCGATAGAAATCCTCAGCCGCGCAGGCCGCCTGCATCACGACTGATGACAATGACGAAGAATTCAACACGCTGCCTTCCGAAATACACAGGCCACACGCTATCTACATCATCAACGGCAGCAACACCAATAAAGCTGGATACTTTCAATGCGTTAGTTAATTACGCAAGATTTTGGTCTGCGTGAAATCTGATGTCTTCAGCACTATTGTCCTAGGGGTTGGAGACCTTATTTGGAGACGTCGACATCGGCATATGGAATCAATTCGTCGAGTGTCCTAGTTGATGATCAAGAATACTTGATCTACTGTTTTGTACGGGAGGCTTATTTTTGTCACTGCCCTCCCTATGCCCACTTAAAGGTTCTGGTCATGATATAGTTGTTTTCGCACCAAATATAGAAGGTGGCATAATTTTTTCCGAAGCAATATTGATCCATCTTTGATTTTTGGTTATCCTTCTTCCGGTAGTTATTTACATGCCTTAGGTCTAATGAGTTGACCGACATCTTTTTATATGGTGTGTAAATTTGTGCAGTGAGTGATTTACGATGTTCTGGACACATACATTCCTTGTTTTGTTCACCGTAATAAGATAAAACGTGTTACTGATTCGCACTTCCATGTTATCATTCCGTCGTAAACTGCGGAAACTTCTATCTGCAAAACAGCTTTTTAGTTCTGTCCCTAATCCGTCATATTTCTGAGCGACTTAAGGCTCTACCCTGAAAACGACTTTTTGGTCGGAATATATTTGCTAAAAACCCCTTGTTTACAGGTATTTGGGATCTTTCCTCACACTGTTTAAACTCGCAGGAATACTAAATACAGCATCCTCCATGATGCACTTTGAAATCTGGTCTTCGATGTCAGGATAACCGCTGATAGTATTGTTGTCATTTTGTCAAAAAAGTGTATTGGAAAAACGACCAGGCTCGGACTGGGCCCCTTCCTGAAATATTAAATTTCGCACTTCGCCATTCGAATTTTTGGACGGACCCAGAAAACATCTTGGTCTGCATTTTAAAGGCTGATGCAAATTATTTACATATCTCCATTTACTTGGTGCATGATACGTAATCTCGTTTCCGAAAACAGACCCTGCCAACACATGACCCCCCCCCTTATGGGTGTGGTCAAGTGTGGCTGGACGTGGCTGGACGTGGCTGGACGTGGCCATGGCCACGCCATATTTTGAGAAATTTCAAGAGTCGTTTCAGCCGCTTAGACGAAATCTTCTGTGCTTTAATGTTGCGCATTTGCCTAAGTATATGTTAATTCACTCAGAAAGTGCCCTGAGTCTTCACTTTTTTGGGGATGATAATTTGCCTGGGTAAGTCGATCATGACGCTTTTGTTTAAGTGGGCAACTTGGATGCCATTTTTCTGCTGCTCGATCGGACGCTCGCGACGAAGTGGTGCGTTTTCCCACGTCGATTTTATGTCTATCGCGCCTTTATAGTCTTACTTACAGCATTACTAATCTACTTTATGTAATGCAAGTAGGTTTATTAACTTAATTGCATGTTTACTCTCACAGTGAGCGTTTCAAGCGCAGTTAAACTTGTTGTATGTTGTTTTATACGCATCGATGAAAGCAATCATGAAGCGCAAGTATTATGGCTTTCATTGGAGCACAATTTACAAGCGGGTTGCGCGTGAGAGGAAGGCATATTATGCACGGATGGGTGATCCCTCCGTTCCCCCTACGTCTTCGGTGGTAGGCCAACCACCGGAGTTAGAAATGCCCGAACTAGTCCCAGAAGTTGACACTGGTAGTCATCTTACTGTGTTACTTACTAGGAAGTTTAGAACCCGCAGACATAAGCAAGGACGCGGTCGCAGGCAAATGCTTTCCGATGGATTTACGGGAATTCTGCTTGGAGGCCCAAATGCCACTATCCACAAGAAAGAAGTTGTTTCGGATGCTGCGGCCCTACCATCCTGAAGTACCCAAAGACCCAAGGACGCTATTGTAAATGCCTCGAATCTGTATTAGCAAGCCCCTGAACAAAGACAACTATGTTCATTTAGGTCTTGAGCGTGGTCTGCTGAATCACTTGCACAGTCTGCCAGCAACGACCGTTCCTGAAATCCATATCCAACTGCATATCGACGGAATGAAGATATTCGAGGGGTCTAGTCAGGTCCTGTGGCTGATTCTTGCTCATGTTCGCCATCCAGTTGTTGGTCAGTCCTTCATTGTTGAAGTGTTCTCCGGTCCCGGCAAGCCCGATCCGTTGGATGACTTCCTGGTTGACTGTGTTGGTGAGCTGAAAGACCTCCTGGCCAGTGGTCTGCGCATTCCATATGCGCAAAATATCGTAAAGGTGAACTTTGACAATGTTATCTGCGACACCCCTGTCCGATGTTTTGTGCGGCAAGTTAAAGCTCACAATGGCTCTCTCGGATGTGACAGGTATGTTGTTTCGTATCTTTAACTAGGACCATCTCAGGTTTTCCCATATGGGCAAACTTATTGCGAACCGCATGACGGTTCCAGTATGCAGTGGGCGTCTGCGTGACGCAAGTCATTCAGGTAGCGAAGACAGGAGCCTCACCACAAGGGCAGGTCTCCGTTCGAGGATTTACCCATCGATATGGTCGCTTCCTTCCCTCTCGACTGTATGTACCTGGTCTGCCTGGTGCTTTAAACTTCCTGGAAGGGGCTCCGCATCGTGTCATGTCCAAAGCAGGGTCATTCTACATGGTTTGACGACTATTTTCAACAAACACTCCCCCACAACCAAGCAGATCCTTGAAATGAGAACAAACAGGAGGGCACACTACGTTAAACAGGCGTTAATCTGATAAGTACACCTCAACATTGATCATTAAAAGCCCGAATTTGTGGCATCTATCAGCTCTCTAAATTTAGTTATGTTTTATAAGCTCAGAATGGAGGCGTCATCTTCTGCAGTTTGCTTCGCTGCAACTAGAGTGATCAATAGTGTTCGTGATTATGTTCTTATATTTAAGCTTACTGCTTTTGAAATAGAGGAAAAACTCCAAATTTCATATCCTCTATCCGATGACTTACACGAAGCCATTTAAAGTTCCCAGCTCCATCTCCAACCCCACATATGTGCGGAGTAGAGTTATTGAGTTTAGAGTTGTGAAATGAGAGGTGCAAGAGGCGAGCCCGTGGCAACGCTGCCTATTTGAATATAGAGTTGGTTGTAAAAAAGGAACTGCATATTTAGTGTGCATCTTAGTAATAGTTCCTTGAGTGTTTTCGTCGGTATTCCTATCTCTTGCTGACTGACAGATAGAAAATCACAGATGTAATCAACTGTCTCGGTGACCGGGACGTCTGTAGAAAGTGGTGCAACGTCTAATGAGCACATCATGCCGCTAAGGTTGAGGTCATTAATGCCGTCAATGAATTGGAAGGTATCTTGATAGCTTCGTCGTGCCTGCTGATGTTGTTTGGGCTTGAGTTTCTCTGCTAATTGCTTACCTATTGCATGATACGGGGAGTTCCGCATATCTAAAATAGCACGAACCTGTAGGCTTTCCTTATGGATCTTAGGTAAACCATATGATCGAGTAATATGTGTGCCGACTGGCCGGAGGTTTTCGAAGTCATGGTCACTTATGTGACATTCAATGTGAAGCCTTCTTAAACAGTCAGTCAATTTTGCCCCTGCGTCATCTGTGCAATCCTCTTCTTTATCTGCCTTTCTGAATTTCTTCTGGTCAGATAGTATGGACGGTATCTTCGCTACGTAGTCCGATCTGTTCATTATGACGACGCCTGTTCCTTTGTCAGGTCTAGTTACCAAGACCTCTTTGTTCTATCGAAGTTCTTTTAATTTTTCCGCGTGTGCTTTTGCCAGCAATCCTCGACTTTTTGACCCTTAGTGGGGATTTAAAGTTTTGGATGCTGTTTGTGGAAACGGGCAATAGATCGTAGGTTCGGTTTCAGAGGTTCTCGAACTGAGTTTCCAATTCTAACTGATGAATGTTTCGACGAGGTATTCAAAACTTAGGACCAAGGGATAATTCTCGGCAGACTTTTTATGTACGTCGAAGATTTGAAAGTCGTCTATCGATATAAGCTAGCAGATCGTGGCGTTATAATCGGACGCTTGGGGGAAGACGCAGAGGCTTTTACCCAATGGTAACATACATGACACCCCTCCCTTTCTTGTCACGAACGTCCACTAATAGTGATTGACAATGATCGCTACCCTCTAGTGAGCACTGGCGATCACAACGAAACTACGTCAGGACTCACCAAAGACCTGAGTATTTCCTATTCAGAGAACTTCACTCCTGTAGTGAACTGAGTCCTCACTGCCTTAAAATCCTGTGGAGTGGGCGGATTAATCCCCTGAATCTTTAAAACTAGTGAAATTATGATTCATATCTGTCACTTGTACATTTGGTCTGAACCTTATGTTTATTCTACTAAGTGCTGATGAGTGAAAGAGACTTAAATTCAGAATTTTATTACCGACAAAGACAAGGGAGACTGGAATTGCCATTTCTGGCTTATAAGCCGTCGTCAGCCAGTCATGCCCAACCCGGAAAAGTGGAACACCCGAGGCTCGAACTCGCGACCTGTTTTTCAGAAGTCCAGACCTCTAACCATTGGACCACGAGCCCGTTGCCATGTCGGTTTTCGATCGGAATATACAATGGTAGAAGGCGCTCACGGATAGTTCTTACGGAACTCACTCGTTCCGTTGTGCCTTACGGGCTCTCTCTTGAGCCCAACCAGCAGCCGCAC